GGCTCCTCGGGGAGGGATTCCCGGTGGGGAAGGAGTGGCCCGGCCGCCTTGTGTGGCTGAGGTGAGAGCGGCGCTGTTGCCCGGGCTCCTGGAGACGGTGGCGGTCTCGCCGTGCCGGGGCTGAGCGCAGGCCCGTAGGTCTGTGCGCGGTGCAAGGGCCCCTCTGGTAGGGAAGGGTTCGGTCATTTGGAGAAAACAGACTCTCGAGCATAAAAAAAGAGAGTTGGGAATGTAGGGGCCTGTCGGAAATTCTGGGGTTTGGTAGAGACAAAAGAGACTGCTGCAAAATAAGATAGGACCCCAGAGAACAAATCTGATTTGCCGCCGGTGCCCGGTGTGTGTAGCAACTGGGGTGTAAACCTTTTGAAAGAAGATTTGTCAATAACTGTAGGCAGATGAAGCTCATTTCTTACAAGGGAAGCAAGAGAGGGACAAGGCATGTTATCTCAGATGAAGCTTTCATAACTGTCGTAGTTAGTTCAGGCTGAGATTACTTTCTTTGCAGCCTGTTTGCAGCTGTCTACACAGAAATCCCTATAAAATCTCAACTTTCTGTCTTTGCTATACTGTCTCAATAGCCTGAAAATTTGGTAAAACTCCATGTAGTAGTGCAATTAAAAGGGGGAAATCTTGCAGTCGAGAAAGGACAAAGTTGAGGTGAAGTTTTAGAACATGGCCTGCAGCATGGAGTAGATGTAACAGTAAGACGTATGAGTGATGCTGGAAGGAGAGAGAACTTCATTTCCATGCTCTTGTGGTTTTGATCTACTATTTTATTATGCATCTATATAAAGCAACTGGTAAGATTTTTGAAGTGCTCTTTAGTGTCATTATTATTTGTTAGAATATACATAACAGGGAATGAACCTGTGGCGTTCAGGATCAGTAGCCAGCTAAAAGCTGATCAAAAATGTCTTCCAGTAGGAAGAATCTTTTCCTGGAGATGCCTGTATTTGTGCATATATGATGTCATTAGCCACCTAAAATTAATATGGAAAAGTATTTTTAAATAATTTTTTAAACAATGTGCAGCAACGACCAAGCTTTCTCAATAATCCATGTTTTTGTATTAGCCAAAACCTAATATAGTCATACTCAAAATTCATATAAAACCTTATTTGAAAGTTTTCCTGTTTACAGTTTTTAGAGGAAGGTGCTCAGTAGAAAATTAAGAACTTAGTTACAACTCAATAGACAATAAACTGTAACTCGTGGTCTGCTTTGCAGAATTTGCAACAAGAATTTCAAGCTCATTTTAAAATGCAGCCCCAGCTGTACATTTACTGCCTGATAGTTTTCTGATCTTGTGGCTCTTCCTTGTGTTTTACTTTTGTAGGCAGTCTCATGAAAATACTTGTTTACAGTCTTCAACACTTTGTGTATCTGTGCAGTGTAAGACAAAGGGAATGATCAAGCCCCACTTCTTTTCTTATCAAGATTTTCTTTCTCTCTCTTTTTTCCTTTTCTGTTCTTTTGCAGAATTGTTAGTACCTGTCACGTGGTACACCAAATTCAAGTGTGAAAGCACAAGACAAAATTTCATATGGCAATCACTTCTGTACTGTTAAATTACTCTGAAGCTACTCCTGCTGCTGCTGGATCTGCACATGATCACGCAGTGAGTGAATTAGCAATTAGGAAGCATGGTGGGAGTACTTACTAACAGTAGAAAAGCAGGCATCTGTGGCAGAATTGCCCTTTGCTGAAAATTGTGTAAAGTTCTCTGTGTAAGCCATTCTTGAATTTTATTTGGTTTGGTACACCTGTGGTTTTAAGAGGTATTCATCAGCTGCACTTCAATCACTTTTCTTTTTCTTCTTCATCCTTGTAGCACTTTTATTCAGTGATTAAATTCAAGACACGGGGCCAATGAAGTATAAGTCCAGTGTGTCCTCGGTGTCCTGTGGTCTGCAATATCACCATTCTTTGATAAATTGGAGTCCAAAAATGAATTTACACGTAGTGCGGACTTACTGCTCATCAGCACCTAAAAGGCCTGAAGCCAAGTCTGCAGTAGAGATGGCCGTGGGTCTTCTTAATCGGCTGACAGAAGCTGGGACCGTTCTGGGTAGAAACTCCCTTCAAAAAATGTCTGCAACGTGCAAGAGTTGGTGGGACAGATATGAAGAGTTTGTTGGAATCAATGAAGTTCGAGAGGCTCAGGGAAAAGTGACGGAGGTAAACATGGAGATAATGTGGAATTGTAAAAATTATGAGTTAAGCTATATGAAGTATAAACACTGGCTGCAAGGCAAAAAGGAGCCTCCAAGGAGAATTGTGGGGTTTTTTCTGCTTTAACTGTCCGTGCAGGTACTGTGTACTAACTGTGTGTTAGTAAATATAGCTTATCCCCTAGAGTGAAATGGGGTATGGTTTGTTTTGTTGGATTTTTTTTGTTTTAAAAAAAAATAAATATAATTAGTGATTTAGATCTGTCTGGTAATAAGTCTCTAAAATTAATACTCTTTCTTCCCAGGCTGAAAATGTCTTTATGATAGCTCGAGGGATAGTACGAGAGGCTCGTGAAAATGTAGAAGCCCAACAAATTAAACTGAAGGAAATTCGAGACCGCTTAGACAGGGTCTCTCGGGATGACACCCAGTATTTAGAACTGGCTACTCTGGAACACAGGTTGCTGCAGGTAATTTGTTGGTAATTGAGCACTGGCAAATATGAAAGTTTGTGTGCTTTGCTTCCGTCACTAGTGACTGTTTGCAGATGCAGTTCAGTTCTGAAGTCAATTTCTGTTGATACTTGTTTTAGTTTATTATAGATTATTTTCTCTGCTATGCAAATTGTATACGTTAATGCTAAAATTGGGCAGCAAATTTGGAGAAGAAAGCTGAAGATAAGGAGCCTAGGAAGTTGAGTTGTTCCTGATGACCCTTTCCTTTCTCAGGTTTGACTTAAAATGATGTCTCATTGACTTAAGTTGTATTAATAAAGAAAATCCCACATTAAAAGGAAAATTTCTGAAACAGAAGTAATACGTGTTCTTAATTTCCATTCCTTCATCTGCACTGTGGTTTTGGGGAGGGTTGGGGTTTTTTCAGTATAGACTCTATAGCTTCATATTATACCTTCTCCCTTCAAATCACTGTATTTCTTGCAGGAAGAGAAGAGGTACCGAGCTGCGTATTTAAATGCAGAAGAATCTGAGAGAGAAAAATTCTCTCTCTTCTCTGCAGCTGTCAGGGAAAGCCATGAGAAAGAGCGAACAAGAGCTGAAAAAACGAAGAACTGGTCTATTATCGGTTCTGTACTGGGAGCCGTTATAGGTGTTCTTGGTTCCACCTACGTTAATCGAGTGAGGCTGCAAGAATTGAAAGTCTTGGTGCTTGAAGCACAGAAGGGCCCAATAAATTTGCAAGAAGCCATCAAAGAGCAGGCGTCCAGCTATTACCTACAGCAGAAGGATCTCAGTGACGTCATAGCAGACCTGAAAAATGTGCTGCAAACAAGGACATCACAGGAAATAAAAGAGGGCGCCATGTTCCCTAGAGAAGGCAGGAGTGACTCCATAAAAATAGATTCTCTTTTGATTCCTTTAAACGAACAGCTAAACTACATCAAACAAGTCAGTTCATGTCTAGGGAGTTTACAACAGCAGTTCACCAGTGTCCAGGAAAGTATAGCACAAATGATTTCTGAGGTGCAGAGTGTTAAAGTTGCAGTTCATTCCAGACCTGCAGAAAGAGCCATGCCAAGGTCTTCAGTGGAGGGTAAGGGCCAGGCTTCTGCTGTGAGAGATGTGATTTTAGAGTTGTGTGATACCGAGCGGAGACTGGAAACACAAATCAAGAGAAATTCTATTTACAGCACTGCGGTGACATGTGCTATGTTTGCTATTACTCTGCCAGTACTCTATATTATACTTAAAGGGACCTGATCTCTAATTAATTGCCACAATTTACTAGGTTAATAAAAGTAAACTTGCACTCTAAGCACTTAGGGTACAAGTCCAAATTAAGTTGCATTAGCATTTCTCGTTGTGCTTTCTCCTGTATGTTTGGAAAACTTGCAAAGATTTAGTCCAGCTACTGCAGGCTCCATGTTAACAGTCTTTGTCATGCATTGTGGTTTTAACTCCTCGAGCAAAGGAAATTCCACAGTTTCATCTGTTGATTTCATTTGCTGCTTCACTCTTTTACTGTTCAGTCTTGTATACTATGCGGGTCAGTGACTTTCACTCTGGAGCTGTATTTGTGATTTTGTGTTCAAATGATTCTTTGAATCTGTCATTAATCCAAGTGCTTCATGTGTAATCCTTTATAATTTTTCTCTTGATTTCTTCATAGTTTTGCAATTTGTCCATACGCAAAACGTTAGAAGTCATTTTACCAAACGGATATAAATACTTACCTGAAGTTTTTTTTGTTGTTGTTGTTGTAGGTTTTTTTAATTTATTTTTAATTCTAGATACAGTGACTTGCAATATGTCAAAGAGCAGGGGCCATGTAAATAAGCATTGAAGTTACCATGATACGACATGGCTGTACAGCCGGATGATGTGTTTAAAATAGGTGTAAGTTGCATGTGGTAACTTTTTCCTAGAACAGTTTATCATGAAGTATCCAAAACCATTTCTGGAGCTTTAGCTATTTGTTACTGATGGCTCCACGGCCTTAAAGGCAGGGAAAAAGGGTTCAGATACAGAGGTGAATTAAGTTTGATGATGTTTATTCTGCAGATGCAAGCCCATCATCCTTTCTCTACACATTTCTTAACTCCTCATTCCCCAGCTATTTTGTGGAGCAATCATTTTCTTATCCTTACTAGTATCTCACTGGAACTGTCTCTGGTTTTTATTCTTTTTTCGATTTTGTCATGTCTGGAAATTGAAATGCTACTCTACAGCAAGTGCTTTTAAGCCGGTATGTTAATAGCAACAGTGTTATGCAAACTACTCCAAAATAATATTGGGAAAAAAGTGAAAGGTCCAGCTGCTTGTTTTTCCTGGAAGGCTGAAGAATGGCTGATTGAGGAAAATGCTTGTCTAAACAGCTCAACAGCAGTAGCTGTGTGTGGCCTAACACAAAGTTGTTATCGCTGTGATAGGAAATAGTTTTCACCCTGTGATAGCAGCAGATAAGCAAATCAGATGTGGAACTCCCGCTCTGTGAGCACATCTGTGGAACCTCTGCAGAGAAAGGAGTGACAAGATCACTTCATGGTGTAATGCCTTTGTGTAAGCACTTCAGAATGACTAAGTTGTGTTTAGGATACAGTCTGCTATGGGTTATTTTTTTCTATCAGCTCTTCTCTAGTTTCTTCTGCCCAGTAACCATATTAAAAGAGCCTGAGGTTTTGATTATAAGCGTCTAAGATTTTAAGGTCTTTAGTACAGGGACATTTGCTCTATGAAGCACCGAGTTCATTTGGTATCATTATTGTAGCATGACTGAATAAGCAAACAATATTAGGAAAGATCAGTGATGATTCACTGCTTGTAAAGGAGATGAAGCATGCAAAAGGTGGTTTTGGGAAGGACCACTGCTGATTTATATATTGATAGTTTGGAGTGTAAAGTGAATAAAAAACATTTGTCAGGGAAGCTGATCTGATGGCTTGAGAACTGGGATAAAAATTCCCCTACGCTTAGCTGCATCAAGAAGTATACATACAGATTAATAGAATTTTTCACATCTGTAATATTTCAGTTTTTAATTTCACAAATGTTTTTACAGGTTATACTTGCAGGAGCTTGATGAAAATGAGAGACAAGTTTGTAATTAAAGGGGAAGAGCAGTACAGTGATTGTATTTGTAATTTGCTGGCACTAGTCACAGAATTTTGTTCAGAGTTTGGTTTTTTTTCTCCTTCAGTTTAACTACATAAAGTTAGGCCCCCTTGTTGTGTAAGTGGCTGGATTTTAGATACTCAGCTTCACTGAAAGGCATGGATTACATATACATGAGCCTGGTTTTAAAATGCTGCATGGTAGGCAGCTAAACTTGAAAGTCAAAGCAACACTCACTGAATTGTACTTGGTGGCATAAAAAATGGGTAGAGGTCCAAGGCTAAACTTGTATACAATAAATAAGAGAATAAAAAACCTGATTGTTTATTGTTCTAAAGAGATCTGCTTTCTACCCACGTAAAGAAGGCATGATCGTAGGTAGCTTTAACATCATCTACAGTTATGGGAAGCAAAAGTCAATGAGAACAGTAGCAAATAAATCTGTGATAAATGAGACTTTGAAATACACAGCCTAGAATTTGAGAAGAGCTGGATGGTGTGATACATACTGCGCTGAAAATAACAGGATCTTATCCTTTGTAGGGAGTTTTGAAGATCCAGGAGTAGGTTCTGTGTGCAGTGTCCCACAGCCGGCAGAACTCGCTGTTACAAGTGATTGCTGTGGTTCTCTTGTTTCTGCTCTTCCTTCCTAAATCCTCGTATGTGAAGTGACAGCAGAATAATTTCAATTAGGGAAAAAAAACCTTGTCATTAACTATACCTATACCATAATTAGATGTGTATGTTCCCTTAATCCTCAATTAATCATCACTCCATTGTGGCAATGATTAAATGTGTAGTTTGGTGCTGTGCTGTATGTGCACCCCAAAGCCAGAAGGTGTGGCTGCAAGAGGAACAGCTGTACCTTCAGCTACCTGAAGGCAATATGCAGGAAGATGCTCTAACACAGGCTACACGCATAATCTGTTCTGTACTTTGTGCTAAATCTTTGTCATGGTAACGCAGACAGCAAATAGACAAGTTTGAACAAACCAGCACATCTGTACAGAGGTGTTGTATCTGAGCACTCACATTCGTTCAGGTACATTTGCAGTACCCACAGTGATTTACACAACGCACAGCGACATCTCGGTGCATATTTCCTGATGATTCAGCCGTGGTGAAATGAGTAGGTCATTACCTGTGCTCTTAGTTTAGTTACCCCAAAAAAAAGTGTTACATACCTATGGATTATTAACAAAGTTTATAATAGATAGTTGAGTTTCGCTTTTGGACTGAGGTCTCTCAGCTGAAGCTTTTCTCAACAAGAAAATTCTACTGGCTGAGGCCTTCTGAGACTTAAATTCTTCCTCTTTCTGTGAGCACAGTCCTGTCTGGGCAGGATGGCTCAGCCAGCCCTGTGTCCCAAATGCTCGTCAGCCAGGAGGGGTGGTGGTTGCAATAGTTTGTGCAGGTCTGGTGCGGCCGGGGACTGACCTAGGCATTGTGTACAGGTCAGAGAAAGCCAGCGCTGATGCAAGTTAATTCCACTGTCAATCAAGATACAGAAGATAAGTTAAAGAGGGAACCTAGTGAGAGCAACAGGAAGCCCTTGGATAGACAGTGACTATAGAAAAATCAGTGTCAGTGGCCTGAGCTTGGCCCATGCTGAGCTATTTTGAGTTTTTACTGCTCCATGAGAAACCACTAGTAACTCAAAAGCAAACAGCCTGGTGGCTATGGAAATAACTTTTAATGAGGTCACGGCAGACTTCTAACAGTAGCTGCATTTTGAAGAGAAAAGTTGCCATTCCTTCCACTTATGAAAGGAATAGCAAATGTTGCTTATGAATACAGGACAAAAGCAATTATCTGTGGTGTCACAACCAGGATATATACATTTATTTATTAACACTTGAGTTTTGAATGTTCCAGCTTTCTAAGAACCTGGGCAGAAATTGCTGGTGCTCCTGTTGATTTCATTGTAACTCTGTTTGGAAAAGACAGTTTCTTTCACGGAATACCTTCTAAAAACAAATACTTCCATCGTTACGGAGCTGAGGAATGGTAGAGGTGTCGTGGTTACTTCAGAAGCAGGATTGAGCTTTGCCATAGGATTTAGGTTCATGAGCTAGGAAAATTGAGACAATGCTGGGTCTGTCTGTAATATATTTAGAACTGTATTTTATTGCCAGATTTTTGCTAGCAAGTTATACTTGTGACCTTCTTCATAAACCATAGAGAAGTGCGATTTCTGGTGTCTGGCAATTTGGGGATAATCTAAGAGGCTATGTGTTTAAATACAGCAAAAAAAACCCTGGGTCACAATGTTTATCTTTAAGGAGAATTAAGCCTTCAGGTCATTATGATTGTGTCAAGGTTTTGGAGTTTCCATTGTGGGAAGTTTTTGAGAACAGCTTAGATAAATATCATTAGGTTTGATCCAGCTATAGACAGATCCTGTCCTGGGACAGGATGGATTCAGTCAAGAGTTTTGAAACTTTTCTGTTCTAAGATATACTTTTTTTTTTTTTTTTTTTTTTTGGTTAAGTGGGAGAGTCTGGACAATTTGATGTCCTAGTCATCCTAGTGCAGATTATCCTATCTTGCAAGTTATAGCAGAATGAGAAAGCGTTGTGCCGAGAAAATAACAGCTCACTTTACTATGGTCTGCGTGGTGTCAGGCACCGGGAGAGACGAGAGTACATGTGTGCATAGCTGCAATAAAGTATGACCCTGAAAGTATCGTCTTAGTAATTATTTTTCAGAATCAATTTTGTAAGGTGACTTCTTGACCAATTTTGGAATACTATGCAAGGAGGTTTTTTAAAGGCTCTTTTTAATAGAACTTTGCACATTCCTGTTGTGAGCCTTTAAATGGCTGCAGCCTCCACCAGCCTTTCTGTGAGTTTGCCTGAAGCAAGCTGGCCCATTAAAGATTATTCTGTTTAAATACTGGCATGTCATAAGCACTCAGGAACTCCCCTGGTCTTCAAGACTTTTAAAAACAAACAAACAAACAAACAAACAAACCAAAAAACACATCATCTGTGTTGTTTCAGTGAGCTGATCACCCAGCCCTCTGTGTTAGTTTGGTGCAGGTAATCTGCTTTGTCGAATACATCTAATTCCTGCTCTGCGTGGAGGTGACTGTGACAATCTGTGTGGCTGGAGCCCTCACCTGTGATGTTGGAAAACTTGCTCACAGTGACGTTGGACATGTCATGCATAAATGTTTAGGCCACCGAGCTCCAAGGTAAAGGGATTGTCACAAGCATCCAAAGCTTGTTTTGCTGTGTT